GACCAAAAACCAGATTAGAGAAACCATACACAAAACCTGAAAAAAATCCGTAGAAACCGGTTCTGTTCATCTACTTCTGTGTCGGCCCTTGTCCCGTCGGCCTTGAGGCGAGCGCTAACGTGTCATGACAGTAAGCGATAAATAGCTTTTGCATGGCATAGCATCGTAAGAGCTATATCTAGCTTATTGCAAGACTAATAGACTACTCGCATGTCTATTTCGGCCGGTGTAACGAGTGGTGGGTTTTGGGAACCTTCCGTCCGGTTTTTGGAAGGTTCCAGTCGGTTTTTCTTCTTTTCACATTTATGTGTTATCGTTTTATTTTCTTTCGGTTGTTATGTTTATCTTTATTTTAAAATTTTCTATTTTCATTTTTCAATTTTGATTTTTCTTCTCCTGGTTTCCTTTTTCATTTACCATTTTAAAATACATGTTGAAATTTTGTTAATACATATTGAATTTTTTAAAGCATATTGAACAACTTTTAGATACACATTGAACATATTTCAATTACATGTTGTGAGATTCATAGTGAGCATGTTTTTTAAACACATAGAGAACATTTTTCATGTAGACGATAAACATTTGGAAATTATATTATGAACATTTTTCTAGAACATGTGAATATTTTTCAATACAAGATGAACAATTTTTTAATACATGGTACATACTTTTTTTATGGATTTGGGTGTTGGTAAATTCTGTTTGGATGGATTTTGAAGGGGAACTTTCTTTTTATCGAGGATCAGACAATACTAAGAGACTAACAGGATCACAGTAAATTACTGGATCATCTATAGTTCCATACCCTAGAACCTGCTGTGATAACTTTCTTGGGGCTCTAAAAATAATTCCTCTGAAACTGAATTACTCAGTCATACCTTCAGTTTTGTAAATAATGGCTCTGGAAGATGGGATCTCTCATCTTGGTTATCTTTACAAACTGCATTGCAAAACCAGAAGCTCAAGCTAGGCTAGGCTCACAGAATAATGATGATGGTTACTTAGCTAAAAGCCTAAAATCTGAAACTCTGTACCCATTTGCTCTAGCTGACAGCAGCACAGCAAGAATAATGAACAACAAGCACTATGCCTGAGTGTGTCATGAATGTGTAATCATGTCCCATCTGAATATAATTTCATTGTGCATGCGTTGTGAAATCGATGCAGGCGTGGGCATCCAAGTTTGATCCGGTCGCAGACAGACATGTCGAGCTGCATTTCTTTGTCGACCCCGTCTGTGGACAACCAGCTGATGTAGATCCTGACCCTTGTGCTCTGAACCCGAACCTGGACTGTTTGGTTCTGTAGATTTTTGAGCTGCTCGAAGGAAGGGATTCTGAAAGTATGCTTGGCCCGTGACTGCTATCTATTTTTGGGCGTGTGTGTAGTCAGTGTTCTTTGCTTGTCCACTCGCCGACGGACTGATGAGCCAACGTTTGCAAGGTGTCTCTTCCCGTTCAGTACGAATGGATGTGTACAGTAAGAGAAATGGATGTGTGTGTAATGGGAAGCAGACTGTTAGTGCTACTAATTAGGGTGAGATTATACATTGCTACAAGTTGTTTAGTTGATACAGTGTGCGTGTGGCATGTCCACCGGGGGCGGCAACCATTGACGATGCTCCTGAAGCAATCTTCACAAACTCCACCAAGGCGCCGATTACCCTACATTCGCCGCCCAAGAGGAACAACAGAAGATAAACCTAACAAACTCGTCTCGCGGCCGAGGTGGGACTTATTCTGCATGGTGATGTCGTTGGCACTAAGGCACAACCGTGTACGACGACAAAGGAGAGGACCGGGTTCCTCTCGCTGTTAAAGTGCAAGGAGAGAGAGAGAGGGGATCAACAACATCACCGGAAGGAGTGGCGAGGCACGCGTGTCGGCCTGGCACGGCCCGCTTATATACGGGCCTGGCGTGTCATGCCATGCCCGACCCCTTTAAGGGTGGGCCATGCCGGCCCATTGGGCAGGTCGGGTCACAATGAATCAAGGGTAAATCAGTCAACTTCAGATGGCAAGAAAGAAAGAACAAGAAGACATGGTAAGAGCAACTCTAGCAGGTCCGCTAAATCCGCCTGTCCGCTATAATAACTGCCAATATAAAGGACCAGAATGATTTTTTGCCCCGCGCAGATTCACTATATTCGGTCGTCCACTATAAAAATTTCTTGTCGGATCCTGTAAGTTTTGGCCCCTGTCTGCCATATTTACGGTTTTGTCCCCTCCGTTTACCAGTTCCTCTATCCTATCCGTTCGTTGCCGCGAAGGAAACTTTCGCCCGTTCCATTCTCCCTTCCACTCGCCGCCGCTAATCCCGTTGGGCCCTCGTTGTCTCACCTTGTCACGCCGCCAACCGCCGCTATGGAGTACCCACAGCCACCGGGACCCAACGGTGCCACTCCGGCCTTCCGCCCCTCCCGCGGCCATGCATGCCGCCACAGCACCAACACCTTCCTCTATCGGCTCCAAGCGAAAGCGGCAGGGGAATCACCTCTTGCAAGGACGCGTGCCCGCCGTCGTGCCGCCTTCTCCCAACGCCATTGTGCTCCTTCTCGTCGCAGTTGCCCGCTCGAGGAAGAGCGCCTCCTCTGGCTCCTTCGGTGCGCGGGCGAAGTTGCAATCAAAGGGACCGAGGAAGAAGGCGGCTACGGCTCGAGACTGGGCTCCTCGTCCACCCTCTCCAATCGGCCATGTCCTCCCCGCTCCCATCCACTCCACCGCCCACGTGTACAGCATGTTCGATGAAACGTCCGAGAAGTAAAATAATTCCTTTGCTCCGGTGATCTTTGGTTCGACTTTGGATCATTTTCCTTATGTTTCGGCCATTGAATTTCGTAGCCAAAACCATTCACTCAGCATATATCGAAAATGTTGGAGGAGAATGCGGTGGACTTGAGTGCTCCGCCTGACGAATTCGATTCGACAAATCAAGTAGAGGTCGAAGCCGAGCTGGAACAAGGGAATGTCGGTGGTGATGAAGTAGATGAGCTTGAGGAGGTTGGGTTCGATGCTAGCCAAGACAAAATAGGGAAAAGGACAGACAACTACACAATGGTAGGGATGTTTGTTTGATTCAATCATGGGAGAGTGTGCCACTTGATGCGGTGACCGACAAAGATCAAAGCACAATGAAGTATTGGCAACAGATCGAGGAATATGGAGCTTAAAAATCTTGTGGCGAGTGATGGTGGTTTCAGCAATATTGGTGAGGT